GGCGAGCCGTTATTAGGGCTGCCCGCTCTGATCCACTATCCGGGCTACGACGAGGAGACTGGCACCCAGACGTTCCCGTTCAGAACGATGGCTATGCTGCTGTCGTTGGTGACGCTGGTCGGCGTGTCGTACGGCACGCAGGTGGCCTTCCTGACCGGCAGGGTGGCGCCCGGTTACGACGTCTTCAGGTGCGTCGTCAATATACCGGAAGATGTCGAGAGGGTAGGCCCGGACCCGGCGGAAGGCGAACAAATGGCTGTCCTGGCTGCCGGCGTCGGAAGACTGTACGGCAGCAAGGACGAATCGAACGGACGAGTGAATCCTGCGCTCGAGCCGGACTACGACATGGAGCCGGGCTACAAAGCACCCGGGGCGATGGAGGGCGTTGTTGCCGGAGGAGGTGGCGGAGGTGCCGGGGTGCACCTGGTGCCTCACGGACCCAACGTGCCACGACAGCCCCAATCCAGCACCGAGTTCTAATCCCTGGTTCCGTGATCGGATGCTGTGACCAACAATAAACAAGGCGGTACAGGTCTGTCCTTGGTTTCTTCTTATTACGGGAGATCTGACCTTACAGAGTTTCTTCCTTCTTGTCGAACCTTTTGCAATTTTTTTATACACTCCCGACATTCTAGAGTTTTTGACGTTAACTTAGGAAATGCTGGCGAATCTGGATCATATCTTACGTCCATGTTTTAAAAAGTGAAAATTTGGAAGTTTGCTACTGCGAATTTGAATTAAACTTTGAAATTTCTTTAAATTTTAAACATGAACTCTGAATTTTTCCGAACGTCACATCTCCCGTAACCACTGTTCATCGCCATCCCTATGCTTTCAAACGGTTCCTAGAGAAGTAGGATCAACATTCGATAATAAATTACAAGCGTGTTTGCTTTCGCTAATAAGCTAGAGTTGCGTTTACTAATTTGATTCGTTTCTTCTGGTTTCTCGTCTCGTCCCACGTCCGAGGAGCTTCGACACCAAGCCAATTTGTTCCAAGTTTCAAACGAATTTTTCTTCGTATTCGCGTTTATACGTTAGCTACGGTGTCGTGTACCTGCTTGAACAATGCTCGTTCGTGCTCTTCCGTAGTGAAAGCAATAGATGACAGGAAGCGAAGTCAGTGAGAGAGGTCGAACGAGTGAACAAGGAATCGGAGGTTACTGTACCCTGCTACCCCTATGTGGACACCTGATGGAACTGATCTCTGTTTTTCAAGGTTCTTATGTTCTAGGGTTTAGTTAGGCTTTTAGGCCCAAACGTGGGTTATAAATTCATTCAGTTGTCGATAGGTCCTAGACTGTTAGGTTGGGAGTCCACCTAGACTCCATTTTGATACGTTAGACCCTAGAGCCCTAACAGCTGAGTGATGCTCACTCGGACGCCGACCGATTGGACGCGTCCCGATTCGAAGCGGTGCCGATTGGACGCGTTCAAAGCAGAGCTTATAGAACCTAACCTAACCTAATCTAACAGCTTCGAATTGGGTCGCGTCCAATCGGCACCGCTTCGAATCGGGACGCGTCCAATCGGTCGGCGTCCGAGTGAGCATCACTCAGCTGTTAGGGCTCTAGGGTCTAACGTATCAAAATGGAGTCTAGGTGGACTCCCAACCTAACAGTCTAGGACCTATCGACAACTGAATGAATTTATAACCCACGTTTGGGCCTAAAAGCCTAACTAAACCCTAGAACATAAGAACCTTGAAAAACAGAGATCAGTTCCATCAGGTGTCCACATAGGGGTAGCAGGGTACAGTAACCTCCGATTCCTTGTTCACTCGTTCGACCTCTCTCACTGACTTCGCTTCCTGTCATCTATTGCTTTCACTACGGAAGAGCACGAACGAGCATTGTTCAAGCAGGTACACGACACCGTAGCTAACGTATAAACGCGAATACGAAGAAAAATTCGTTTGAAACTTGGAACAAATTGGCTTGGTGTCGAAGCTCCTCGGACGTGGGACGAGACGAGAAACCAGAAGAAACGAATCAAATTAGTAAACGCAACTCTAGCTTATTAGCGAAAGCAAACACGCACACTCCCCTTCACTAGAGCTCTCTCCCTAAGCTTTGAAGTCCCAAGAATCTAATTCCGCTTTCTTTAATAGCCAAAACTGCTTAACCAAATTCGAAGAGAGGGAAAATACGTCCACAGTGGAGTGTCAGGGTACCGTAAAAAGCAACATAAGTACTTTTAAGACTCGAAGCTTCCCGAACGGTCGGCCGAGACGATTTTCGCCTGTACCGCCAATTAGGCCTAGTAAATAAACCTTGTTTCCTTTTTGAGAAGTATATATATATATATATGCGATGTCTTCAGGTGCGTCGTGGTATATTAAATTATATACGAGTATGTTGTATGTATATTTAGAGTTGATCCGCTTGAGAGGAGTAACGTCTCGATGCATCGACCGACCCGTTCCCACCATTGTTAGTATTTTTACCCTATTGTTCGTAATAATAGTTGACATTGTTATTATTCATTGCTAGATTATTTACAGAGCGGTATTTAATTGCAACGGTAGCGTTCAGAAAATGGCGGACAATAAACGGATCGGTCGTCGCAGAGACTCGTTGTGTTTACTATATAGTATATATACATATATATATACACACACACGGACACAGACACATGTATGATATCGGCATTAAAACGAGACGAATGAACTAGCATAATCGACAGACATAGTACACGTGAAAGAAGACTAAATGTAGCTCTCACCGTCGTAGACACGATTGCCATCCAAACAATACATACACGGAAAGAAACAAATGGACTGGTAGATTTTGGGACGGAGTGATTGTATTGTTTGACGTAGGACCGTGTTGATTGCCTGTACAGTGGCGTTACTGCTCATCGTAGTTGCTCATTTCATTGTTTATGGAGGTGTACGTACTGTCAAAGATATTGGGACACAAATTTTTTAAACACAAAGGGAAGATTTCTTGGTTATACACCTAACCTAATCTTAATGGATAATTTTTCAAATACGAAAAAAAAGATTCGTTGAAGGTTATGTCATGGAGATATAAGAGGCGGCACCACACAAAGAAACCACCTAGAGAGACAGAGGACATTCAAATTCCCGAATCAAAAGAATCGGTGCGCATGCGCACAGTGCAGAAGTATGGCGGTCGAGAAGAATAGTTTAAACCCGCATATTCACCAGTAATTTATTTCTAATAAATATTTTGTCACGTCTCTGTGACACATTCATCCGTAATTTCTTGTGATACATAGTTTTTCATTTTCTTACAAGTTATTCGTAATAATCATTTCCGTAATACATATTCTTCAAATATATTTTGTAGAGCAATCATTTTGGTATATTCTTTTCTTTCAACTTTCCAACGCCGTAAAATTGATAAAATACCTCGAAAGACAATATTAGTAATATACAGAAAATTTATTACAAATATATTCCAAATTATTGGAGATCGACATGAAAGTAGATTTGCTCGATTGCTCGATTTAAATTTCCCGCTTTTGCTCGATTTAAATTTCCCGCTCGTTTGTAGAAGCAATTTAAGGGACAGTTTTGGAGTCGCCTCTGGTTTCTGTGGTTATGTCATGAACCTAACCTAGATTTTAAGGTTATAGTTCGATTTTAATTAAATTTTATTTAAAGCGTGTTCCAATATTTTTGAGCGGTAACATTGTTAAGCGAGTAGTTCCTACTCATGCCCCATATCGAACAGTAATTCAAGTAAGAAAGAAACCTGATCCGTTTTCGTTAATATTTATCCATGGATACTCTCGTTTCGTGAGAAAACGGCATTCTTTAACAAAAAATAAACGCACAGAATTATTTCTAAGAGCGTTTCAATTCAAATCCTTGTATACGGTTATTGTTTCTCGTTTCTTTCTCCGAAATAAGTATAAGGCGAGGCGCTCGAGACGCCATCTGCACAAAAGGTCGAGTTAACCTCTCTGTTGGGAAAGATCTTTTTCTACAAACAAAATGCCTTTTTCATTAACAAAATAATTAATCAACTATGCATTAAATTCTTTCAGGGAACTGTTACTGTTCATTGAAATGCACTTAAAGTTAATTGCATGAAGGCAACAGCTCGAAAATGATTACTTCCACAACTGTTCTATTAAAATGTGTTCAAAGTTTGTTTGGAACTTTTAATTAACTCCACAGGTAAATACCTTGAACAAACTTCACATCGCAAATGGAGAAAGGTTCAATTTATTTAAACTTGAATTTAGAAATTGTTTCTGGTGAATTTTCATATATTCGTATTAACTGCAACGAAGTGAAATTCTGAGATAAAAATTAATTAAGAACAGGAGATACAAACTGATCGTTATGCAGATGAAGCAAGATAGCAAATTGAAAGTTGCAATTAGAAAATGAATTTTTTAATATCTTATGCATGGGTACTTTCACTTTGGTTCTCAAGGTACAAACTTTATTTAAAAATATTTTTTTTTTTCAAATAATAATGGACGATGGCTACAGCTGACTTTCCATCATGTGTGACGAAATTAACTACTGTTATAAACATTTATTTTTTGAAAATATTAGGTCTTGTGAATATTCACTCATCGTCGATGTATATCGATGTATGGAATTTGTTTAAATTTTTCTACATTTCATAACCAACTGATGGAGTTAAAAAAATTATTTTAAAATAGCCCAATTCTTCTTGAATAAAACAAAAAAGAATTTAGCTAAATAAGTTGACTAGTTTCTGAGATAAAAATTCGGGACTGAAGCCTATTTTTGTAAAAGTGGGCAAAAGTTGCAGACTTTCAAGGCTTGTTATTTTTTAACAAATTGACGGAATTAAAAAAAATGTTTTAAAATAGCCCCATCCTTCTTGAATAAAACAAAAAAGAATTTAGCTAAATTGGTTGAGTAGTTTCTAAGAAAAAAATTCTTGAGTGAGGGCTTTTTATGCAAAAGTGGGCAAAAATTGTGGATTTTTAAGGCTTGTTATTTTTTAACGAATTGACGGAATTAATAAAAATATTTTAAAATAGCCCCATCCTTCTTGAATAAAACAAAATAGAATTTAGCTAAATTGGTTGAGTAGTTTCTGAGAAAAAAATTCGTGAGTGAAGGCTTTATATGCAAAAGTGGGCAAAAATTGTGGATTTTTAAGGCTTGTTATTTTTTAACAAATTGACGGAATTAAAAAAAATATTTTAAAATAGCTCCATCCTTCTTGAATAAAACAAAATAGAATTTAGCTAAATTGGTTGAGTAGTTTCTAAGAAAAAAATTCTTGAGTGAAGGCTTTTTATGCAAAAGTGGGCAAAAATTGTGGATTTTTAAGGCTTGTTATTTTTTTAACGAATTGACGGAATTAAAAAAAATATTTAAAAATAGCCCCATCCTTCTCGAATAAAACAATAAAGAATTTAGCTAAATTGGTTGACTAGTTTCTGAGAAAAAAATTCGTGACTGAAGCCTATTTTTGTAAAAGTGGGCAAAAATGGGTTTTGAAGGCTTGTTATTTTTTTAACAAATTCGAAACGGGGAAAATGGTGACTTAAACCCCCCCTAATTTCACGTAAACTACAATATATTTCAATTAGAGCAAAATCGCAGAGGTTCAAGAGTGATCGAATGACTCATACGTATAAAATTTTCAATGATAAAAAATAAAATTTGTGTGATAAAAAGATCTTTCCCAGACGAGGTAGAAAGTTCATCGAATACCTCATTCTCCTCGAGTGCTGTGCACAAAGGAATCACTGTACCGACGTAGAACCCGACACATTGGTCGTAAGTGTTAATTAAGGACTCACTATACATATCAACCGACGTGCATTGTAACCAACGATGTAAACAAGAAACGTATACATATCATGGTGCGTGATCTACGTGTATTAGGTATCTAGGTAAGGTAAAAGAAAAACAAAAGACATGTATATACGTATTACTACATATTATAATCATAGCGTTGTTATCCTCTAAAGAAGGGGCGGATTCGGATTTTGTAGCGAGGAAAAAAAAACTGACGAGGCTGCCTGAACGCCGAATCGAGAAAATGGTTCCAAATTTGATGGTAAAACGACGTTCGACTAACTAGCCTGCTTTTCAAACCGAATCGTGTACTTACTGTTATATAACCTTTGTCCTATCTTGCCAGCTTGGGACGTCTACCTATATCAATAGAGTATCATTATCATTATGTGTAAAGAGGAAACGAAAGCCCAATTTACCCCGTAAGAGTATATCCATGTATATGTATTACGAAAGCGTTAACGATACTGTATTATACGATACTATTATACGTGTATAATTGAGAAACTGAACGCGATGTTGATTGTAAATGTTAAAAATAAACAGTGTATAAAAAACAATACCGTCTACTTTCATTTTACGAATTTAGGTTTTTTAGATTTTGCAAAAACCTTCGAAATTTTTTTTTAATTTCATATGAATTTAGGAAGGTCGAATTTTTGGGAATGTTCAATTTATGTTCTTTAGATTTTGCAAATTTTAACCTTTCAAATTTTTTTTTAATTTCATATAAATTTAGGAAGGTACAATTTTTGGGAACGTTCAATTTATGTTCTTTAGATTTTGCAAAAACCTTCGAAATTTTTTTTTTAATTTCATATGAATTTAGGAAGGTAGAATTTTTGGGAACGTTCAATTTATGTTCTTTAGATTTCGCAAATTTTAACCTTTGACATTTTTTTTTAATTTCATATAAATTTAGGAAGGTAGAATTTTTGGGAATGTTCAATTTATGTTCTTCAGATTTTGAAAATTTTAACCTTTCAAATTCTTTTTTAAATTTCATATGAATTTAGGAAGGTAGAATTTTTGGGAACGTTCAATTTATGTTTTTTAGATTTTGCAAAAACCTTCGAAATTTTTTTTTTAATTTCATATGAATTTAGGAAGGTAGAATTTTTGGAAATCTTCAATAATTAAAATGTACAAAATTTTCGGAAGGACTTTTGTACCACCCGGTAGATATACCGTCCGCAGAGTCGGCGACGTACGGGAGTTAGGCCTACTTTCATCCTACCAGCCTTTATCCTTAATATCTCGACTCTATCTAAAAAATTAACCTTACATGAAACCTTCTAAATGATTCCCCAAGTATAATAATAACTATAATAATTAAAAATAGCATGAGAGGTAAAATAAAATTTAAATGAGACTAATTAAAGCTAAGTACCGATCTAAAAGTCGAGATGAAGCACCAGAATCTTTGATAACTATTTTTACATTACTGTAATTATGTCCCACCCTATATATTTCCACCATCAAGATCTCTCAACTTCAATTAATTCCTCTCAACAACTTATATACCAAAAAATTTCTTATAATTTTTTCAGTAATAATAAAGAGAATAACCGCGTAAAATATTGTATCCTCCAACTCGATAGGCTCTAAAAAAATTTCCTGGGATTCCAATTTCCTGCGAATCTAAGTAAATAAAACGACGAGTCTTCTACGACCATGGTCCATTGTCGAAAAGCAAATAGGTCAGATATTCGCCTAACTGTAACCGTGGGTCACTGATATCGATACGTGTTTTTAGCCAACTTACGATAGAAATAGAAAGAGCCCTCACTTATTCATGGCTTTCCGGTATTCAAGTCGGGGAATCGATAAATCGACTGACTGCGTCGTGCCGTTCTCGGAACAATCGTTCTCGAGTATCTATATCTTTGTTCGAAGTTCTGAAGGGTAACTCCGAAGTTTTTGTTCAGTATAGCGACTTTATTAGTACAAAAAAAGCATTTTTACAAAATAAATAAGTTACAGGCTCTGAATGAGGAATGAACTCCCGCCTCTTCTCTCCGTTAGTCCATGCGATTCTTTCGAGGATGTTCCTAACGGCGAATAGAAACAAGGTTAACCTCGATTCCTCCTTTCTACCCGCCAGCAGGAAGCGCTTCAAGATGGCGGTCATGCTTTGGGAGCGACGGGAGGATGACTACCGATTTCTCATTCCTTTCTCTGTCAGCGGTTCCATTTGATCGAATGACGTTTTGTAACACGGGGGACGCGTTGAGGTTCCGATTCGTTCGATGATGCTCGATGACTGATGAAACAGGGTCGAAGGTCGTCGCGCGGGGTGAAGATACGTTGCGATTAATATTGGTAACCTCCGTTGCTGGCGTAGCTTTGACCGCCGCCGCCTCCAGAGTAACCACCTCCGCCACCTCCAGAGTAACCACCTCCGCCTCCTCCAGAGTAGCCGCCGCCTCCAGAGTAGCCACCTCCGCCTCCTCCAGAGTAGCCACCGCCTCCAGAGTAGCCACCTCCACCTCCGGAGTAGCCACCTCCGCCTCCAGAGTAACCACCTCCGCCACCTCCAGAGTAACCACCTCCGCCTCCTCCAGAGTAGCCGCCGCCTCCAGAGTAGCCACCTCCGCCTCCTCCAGAGTAGCCACCGCCTCCAGAGTAGCCACCTCCACCTCCGGAGTAGCCACCTCCGCCTCCAGAGTAACCACCTCCGCCACCTCCAGAGTAACCACCTCCGCCTCCTCCAGAGTAGCCGCCGCCTCCAGAGTAGCCACCTCCGCCTCCTCCAGAGTAGCCACCGCCTCCAGAGTAGCCACCTCCACCTCCGGAGTAGCCACCTCCGCCTCCAGAGTAACCACCTCCGCCACCTCCAGAGTAACCACCGCCTCCGGAGTAACCGCCACCGCCGGAGTAGCCGCCGCCGTTCGAGTAGCCGCCACCGCCCGAGTAACCGCCGCCGCCTCGACCGCCGTTAGAGTAACCACCTCCGCCTCCAGAATATCCACGTCCGCCGCCAGAATAGCCGCTGCAATTTATATTCGGTTTATACTCGAGGTTAGGGCTGAGTCTATTCGTTAGGAGTAGTAATGTATGGGTTAGTACCTAGGATGACATAGTTGTCATCTAGGTGATGTATCTTTATTAGGACTTGTGATTATTTTTATTTATGTAGTTGTTGATGTTCAGATCCAGATGTTAAGGACTGGACTTCATTCATTAACTGGTAATTCATGTTCAGTTTAAACCACAAGGTTCATATTCGTTAGGGTATTATGTAAGCTATGGCTACTATGTCATCCTAGCTTTATCATCCTTTATTAGGACTTGTGATTATTTTTATTTATGTAGTTGTTGATGTTCAGATCCAGATGTTAAGGACTGGACTTCATTCATTAACTGGTAATTCATGTTCAGTTTAAACCACAAGTTTCGTATTCGTTAGGGCTGAGTAACCTATGGGTACTATGTCATCCTAGCTTTATCATCCTTTATTAGGACTTGTGATTATTTTTATTTATGTAGTTGTTGATGTTCAGATCCAGATGTTAAGGACTGGACTTCATTCATTAACTGGCGCCGGAGTAGCCGCCGCCGTTCGAGTAGCCGCCACCGCCCGAGTAACCGCCGCCGCCTCGACCGCCGTTAGAGTAACCACCTCCGCCTCCAGAATATCCACGTCCGCCGCCAGAATAGCCGCTGCAATTTATATTCGGTTTATACTCGAGGTTAGGGCTGAGTCTATTCGTTAGGAGTAGTAATGTATGGGTTAGTACCTAGGATGACATAGTTGTCATCTAGGTGATGTATCTTTATTAGGACTTGTGATTATTTTTATTTATGTAGCTGAGACTTTTCATGTTCAGACTCAGATGTTAAGGACTGGACTTCATTCATTAACTGGCAATTCATGTTCAGTTTAAACCACAAGGTTCATATTCGTTAGGGTATTATGTAAGCTATGGCTACTATGTCATCCTAGCTTTATCATCCTTTATTAGGACTTGTGATTATTTTTATTTATGTAGTTGTTGATGTTCAGATCCAGATGTTAAGGACTGGACTTCATTCATTAACTGGTAATTCATGTTCAGTTTAAACCACAAGTTTCGTATTCGTTAGGGCTGAGTAACCTATGGGTACTATGTCATCCTAGCTTTATCATCCTTTATCAGATGTGATTATTTTTATTTATGTAGCTGAGACTTTTGATGTTCAGAGATGTTAAGAACTGGGACTTAATCATCCCTCAGGGACCCTGTTCTGGATTTACTTCTAATGAACTAAGGCCTTTCTGGAGAATTAAAGAGGTCCAGATCTTCAGATTGACTCCAGATCTTCAGGTCCTAACCTTCATCCTAAGCTACTTCTATGAAAGGTCCAGATGTTCAGATTGACTCCAGATCTTCAGATCCTAACCTTCATCCTAAGCTACTTCTATGAAAGGTCCAGATCTTCAGATTGACTCCAGATCTTCAAGTCCTAACCTTCATCCTAAGTTACTTCTAGGAAAGGTCCAGATCTTCAGATCCTAACCTTCATCCTAAGCTACTTCTAGGAAAGGTGCAGATCTTCAGATTGACTCCAGATCTTCAGATCCTAACCTTCATCCTAAGCTACTTCTAGGAAAGGTCCAGATCTTCAGATTGACTCCAGATCTTCAGGTCCTAACCTTCATCCCAAGTTACTTCTATGAAAGGTCCAGATCTTCAAATTGACTCCAGATCTTCAGGTCCTAACCTTCATCCTAAGCTACTTCTATGAAAGGTCCAGATCTTCAGATTGACTCCAGATCTTCAAGTCCTAACCTTCATCCTAAGTTACTTCTAGGAAAGGTCCAGATCTTCAGATCCTAACCTTCATCCTAAGCTACTTCTAGGAAAGGTCCAGATCTTCAGATTGACTCCAGATCTTCAGGTCCTAACCTTCATCCCAAGTTACTTCTATGAAAGGTCCAGATCTTCAAATTGACTCCAGATCTTCAGGTCCTAACCTTCATCCCAAGTTACTTCTATGAAAGGTCCAGATCTTCAAATTGACTCCAGATCTTCAGGTCCTAACCTTCATCCCAAGTTACTTCTATGAAAGGTCCAGATCTTCAAATTGACTCCAGATCTTCAGGTCCTAACCTTCATCCCAAGTTACTTCTATGAAAGGTCCAGATCTTCAAATTGACTCCAGATCTTCAGGTCCTAACCTTCATCCCAAGTTACTTCTATGAAAGGTCCAGATCTTCAAATTGACTCCAGATCTTCAGGTCCTAACCTTCATCCCAAGTTACTTCTATGAAAGGTCCAGATCTTCAAATTGACTCCAGATCTTCAGGTCCTAACCTTCATCCCAAGTTACTTCTATGAAAGGTCCAGATCTTCAAATTGACTCCAGATCTTCAGGTCCTAACCTTCATCCTAAGCTATTTCTAGAACCTGAAGATCTGGAATCAATCTGAAGATCTGGACCTTACTAGTTCTCTACAAAGGCCTTAGTCCCTTAGAAGTAAATCTAGAACAGGAACTGGAGGTAAATCAGGAACAGGAACCTGAAGGAAGATGATTAAGTTAACCTTCATGCTAAGTTACTTCCAGGTCTTTTCTTAAGTGGTGACTTGAACCTTCCTTATCTCTAACCTTAAACCTTCCTAACTATATAAGGACTTATGTACATTTGCTGTAGTCCTCATTTCCTCATCCTTATATTACTGGATCTATCTGCTAGCTCTAACAATCTGTAGCCCTAACTGATGCGATTAAGACTCCTATCATATTATCCGAACTAAGATCTCCAGTCATACTTGATTTTCTCTTGGGGCTATGATCGTATGAAAGCACGTAATCGTGTTGCAGTGCCAGTGAATATTAAAAAATGCCTTTACCCTCCATTGAAACTGCCACCACCGGTGCTAGGTGCACCATAAGAGGAAGACGGTCTGGAGAATCCGCCACCGCCTCCAGTAGGCGCACCATAACTGCTAGAAATTCCTCCGCCGTTGCTAGGTGCACCGTAAGAGGATGACAGTGATCCGCCACCTCCTCGCGATGGTGCACCGTAGCTCGACGAGAGTCCGTTACCGAAACCGCCGCCGCCACCACCGGACGATGGTGCTCCGTAGTTACTGGACGGTGCACCGTAGTTGCTGGATGGTGCTCCGTAGTTGCTCGATGGTGGTGCTCCGTAATTGCTGGACGGGGCACCGTAGTTGGAAGACGGGCGACCGCCACCGCCACCGCCACCACCGCCACCACCGTTAGGTGCGCCGTAAGAAGATGATGGGCCACCGAAGCTTCCGCCTCCTATGTTTGGTGTTCCATAACTGGTTGATGGTGGTAAGTAGCTGCCCGAAATTGGTGCTGGAAATATTGCGTATGATTTAGTGATGTGGAACTTCATATAGGTAGGTATGATATAGGACTGAGAGTCCTTAAAGTAGGGACTTAAAGTAGGGGCTTAAAGTAGGGACCTAAAGGACTTTGGGTAATTATACTATAGCCAGAGTACCTTTAATAAGGGAACTTCTTTTTCCGACGGACTCTAGTGTATCTGGTGATCCTAGGGTTCTATACAAGTTCAAATATTTCTATAATGGTCTAAGGGGCCTAGTGATCCTAGGTCATAGAAGCTCAGTGACTTTAGGGTCCTTAGTGTCCCTGCTGCCTTTAGGTTCCCTAAGGACTCTAGAGATCTTCTTGGACTTAAAAACCTTAATGTAGCTTGATGTTCAAATGTTCTAGACTGTCTAGTGACTCTTATGTCCTTAGGTCCTCCTAGCATGCCTGATGTCCCTTATGTCCCCAGTGTCCCACATGGCCCTGGTATCCCTGGTGTCCCTGATGTCCCTAATGTCTCTAGTGTCCCATATAGCCCTGGTATCCCTGGTGTCCCTAATGTCTCTAGTGTCCCACATGGCCCTGGTGTCCCTAATGTCTCTAGTGTCCCACATGGCCCTGGTGTCCCTAATGTCTCTAGTGTCCCACATGGCCCTGGTATCCCTGGTATCCCTAATGTCTCTAGTGTCCCACATGGCCCTGGTATCCCTGGTGTCCCCCATGTCCCTAGTGCCTCCCATATCCCTAGTGTCCCCCATGTCCCTAGTGCCTCCCATGCCTCTAGTGTCCCTAATGTCCCTAGTGCCCCTAATGTCCCTAGTGCCCCTAATATCCCTAGTATCCCTAATGACCCTAGTGATCCTAATATCCCTAATATCCCTAATATCCCTAATATCCCTACTATCCCTAATATCCCTAATATCCCTAATATCCCTAATGTCCCTTGCAATTAATTAAATCTACACATCGATAACTATAGTCTCTCATATTCTTTTTAATAGCGTCATTATAATTTTCCCAACGTTTAGGAAGAAAGAACGGTATTCATATTCCGTGTTTGATACGCATATCGTACAACGTTAACTAGAACATGGAACACTTCCGCTTTTGGTGTTTGTGCTGGTCGTTAGTCGGTGAAAGTGTGGGAGATTCCTAAACGAATTCACCTTCGCGATTTCACGTTGTCTCCGCTTGCACATCTGCAGCCTCCAGCTTTGTGATTGCTGAGGTTAACAGCCACAATCTGTTCGCATTGTTTTTAATCAAGTTCGTGACTGACTCGTTCCTCGACTATTCTTCATTGCTTGTATTACCGGAAGAGCATTTATAATTGAACGTCTGCGGCTTGTATTTGAGTTAATAATTCATTAATCAACCATCTTTTTGCTTGTACTTTCTTGACTATTGTTTTGAGGATAATTGCGCTTCTGAAAGTTGTCATTGTTGTTTGGAAATTAAGGAAGTTTCATAGTTTAGCTACTTATCTGATTAGGTGCAATTATACATTAACACAATTTTTTCATATCAATTTTCAAATCTTCAAATCTTCAAATCTTCAAATGTTCAAATATTATATTTTGTGAATCTTTAAATTATAAAATTTCTACAATGTTAATTTCTCAAGTTTTTACATTTTAAAACGCCAGTAATCGAAGCTAAGTTTGATAAATATAAGAAATATAAGAAGTAGTTGCATCGTAAAAACCGCGGGCTTTTCAAACGAGGTTCACGATAAATGACCTCCAGATTATAAACCACAAATTCGAATTGTAAATGAGACCATAAGAGCCGTGAAACTTGATCGTCTCAATAGTTTATTCCTTGTTCCTTGACGATTTCTATTTTTTCTTCGCGTCCTGGTTTTTCAATTTCGCGCGCCGGAGAAACTAGCCGCAACGCAATCGCGTGAAATGTAGCCATCTTTCACTCGGTGTAATTTAGATAGTTCTACCACGTCGAGTTAATCGCCGTATCACGGAATATCGATATCATGTATCGTCCTGATTGCCTATCGACACTTTCTATCCTTTCCGATGCTTTCCACTATTTTTCTATATAAGTACAAAAGTTTCTTACGAAGTTTTAATTCTGTTTCATTATTTTAATGGACAGATATATTCATTTTGATGTTTTAAAGTAAAAATGTAGAAATTTAGAAGTTTGATAGTTGTTAAATATTTTTATATTTTAAATACATTGTTTAGGAGTTTTAAACTAGATACTTTTCCCGCGCTTTTATCTCAGTCTAATCTTCAATTTAATTATTATAAAATACAATTGTTTTAGTATTTCAGCATTTAGGTATGTAATAAATTTACTAATAACTAATGTAAATTTAAAATTATTTGAAAATAGTGCAGTGAGCTGCAAGAATATTTCAAATTTACTTCTTTTCCCGCGTTTTTATATCACTCTGTCAATCTTCAATTTAATTATTATAAAATACAATTGTTTTAATATTTCAGCATTTAGATATGTAATAAATTTACCAACAACCCATATAAATTTATAATTAACAGAAAATAGTGAAGCGAGCTGCAAAGATATTTCAAATTTACTTCTTTTCCCGCGCTTTTATGGTTCTCCCTCGACTACGTAGTTTTAATTGAATTTCACATAAAAATTGCTTGCAAACCAAAGTCATTCGAGAGCAATAAATAATTAGTTATTCAAAATGTTAAAATTTTGAGACTTATCATAATTTATTCGAATCTGCTTTACAAATTACAACAAATTTTTATTGTAACAAAAAATTATCGTTGTCTGTCAAATTTATAAATTTATTCTTTTAAAAATATAAAAGACGTAGAAATTTCAAATTTTCAATTCGAACTCGATGTTGCTCTTCAGTTAACTCTAAATGTATACCCACGCGATATCGCGTGCCAAAAAGAAAAATGTATTTTATTCAGAAAATTGATCCTCAAGTCATAAACGCATCTCAGCAAAAACTTGAAAATCACGAAGAAAGCATGACGAGTCGAAAAGAACCGTGTCGAATAAAATTCTTACCGTCAGCTGCGATGGACTGCAATAGCAGGGCCGTAGCAAGAACGGCCGTAGCCAGGGTGGCCCAGCTTTTCGCGGGCCTCATGGTCCCTGACGGTAGTTGATGACTCTTCGAGATTACAGCCGCAGCCGATTCACATGCACGAACCACCCCGAATCGATACGATCACGCAAATGTCGACGTAGAGAATAAATCAGGTGAAACGAAGAAGCGTCGGGACTACTTGGTCCGTTCGACGCATCCGTAAGATTTCGTCTAACGTGCTTCAAACAACGTCCATGTCGCTTATATAGTTGGCCGTCTTTTGGAGAAAGTCCTCGTGGGAGTGCAGGAGGATGCTAAGCTAGACATCTTGGGGTGAAAGACACGAACGAGGGGGGATAAAGAAGCAAACAGGAGGGGATCTAGACAGGAGATGCGCCAGGTTTGACCCTGGTCAGCTTGTTAACACCTGATCTTTTTTCTGCGGGGACTTCGTCCTCTTCTATCGCGCTCACGAACCTGATGATCTCCTTAAGATGGATCGCCTCCGGACGTGTCCTTGATGTCACTCCTGATGGAACAATGATGGTGGCTGTAGTCGCTCGTTTCGTCATTTAATATCTTCTTTCGTAATGAACTCGTGCTTTTCGTTTGATACGAAGTTTCTTTGTTTGGACATTCAGTGCGCGAGCCTTAGTCAAATTTTCAACGGACGATTATTGAACTCGTGCCTCGAATTTCAGCGACAAAGTTTCTGCGCTGTGCCGAGGAGGCACCTGCATTCTTAATACGTTTTGCATGTCGAACGACGGAATTTGGGGCGCATATGGCGATTTTATGAAGTCGGTCTGTGATTTGTGACTTTCAGTGTCAAGTAGGATATTTTTACTTTTGAAAATACATTTATACTTTTGAAAATATATTTTGATTTATGGTACAGACACATGTATACGTTATGTAGTTATTCTACTAGTACTCGATTCTAACAACTAGCAGTGACTTTCAAGAATGATAATATTAGCATTACTACGTAGCAGCTTAACCTCTCAACCTATGACATCTTTCGACAGTAGCGTCAGACAGAGTTAACTGATTATTGCTGCAATATTAAATAAAGAAAATTGAAATGTTAGGTATATTTAGAATTTACAAATCCTCGTGTAAATTATAATTTTTAACTGCAAACACAATCGTGCGAATATAATTTTTATTCATTGTATCAGGAGTGTAAGGTGCGTCATGGTTGTGTCATAGGTTATGTTATAGGTGCGCCATGGGTACGTCATTGGTGCGTCACGGTTGTGTCATAGGTCATGGGTGCGTCATGAGAGTACATCATGGATGAGTTATAGGTGCGTCTTGGTTGCGTCATGAGTACATCATGAGTGCGTCATGGCTGCGTCATGAGTACACCATGGATGAGTTATGAGTGCGTCATGGTTGCGTCATGAGTACATCATGGGTGAGTTATAGGTGCGTCATGGTTGCGTCATGGGTGCACCATGGTTGCGTCATGGTTGTCATAGGTCATGAGTGCGTCATAGGTGTGTCATGAGTAGATCATGAGTGCGTCATGGCTGCGTCATGAGTACACCATGGGTGAGTTATAGGTGTGTCATAGTTGCGTCATAGGTGCACCATGGTTGCGTCATGATTGTGTCATAGGTTGGGTCATGAGTGCGTCATAGGTGTGTCATGAGTATATCATGGTTGCGTCATAGCTGCGTCATGAGTGCACCATGGATGAGTTATTAGTGCGTCATGATTGCGTCATGAGTACACCATGGGTGAGTTATAGGTGCGTCATAGTTGCGTCATGGGTGCACCATGGTTGCGTCATGAGTGCGTCATGGTTGTGTCATAGGTTGGGTCATGAGTATATCATGGGTGCGTTACGGCTGCGTCATGAGTACACCATGGATGAGTTATAGGTGCGTCATGGTTGCGTCATGGGTGTACCATGGTTGCGTCATGGTTGTGTCATAAGTGCGTCATAGGTGTGTCATGAGTATGTCATGAGTGCGTCATGGCTGCGTCATGAATACACCATGGATGAGTTATTAGTGCGTCATGGTTGCGTCATGAGTACATCATGGGTGAGTTATAGGTGCGTCATGGTTGCGTCATTGGTTTGCCATGGTTGCGTCATGAGTGCGTCATGGTTGTGTCATAGGTTGGGTCATGAGTGCGTCATAGGTGTGTCATGAATATATCATAGTTGCGTCATAAGTGCGTCATGAGTACACCATGGGTGAGTTATAGGTGCGTCATAGTTGCGTCATGCGTACACTATGAGTGCGTCATGGGTGCGTCACGAAATTATAACAAAGTTAATTTTACCCAAAATTATTATTATTGTAATATTGTAACAAAATTCATACTAATCGATACTAGTACTAATTGACCAATATACGTCCTGACATATATATCTAATTAAGTATCAAATAATGTATTATTAACCCAAGTCATCAGTATCGACTACTCGATCACACAACAGACCTAATTCGTGTCCACCCGTTGAAATCGGATGCAGGATTAACTAGATTCGCAGAAGCAAAATGGTAGCGGATATCGCAGCAAATCGAGCTATTATTATCGATCGTTCATACGATTCACCCTCTTACTCGATCACCGAGTCGATGATCGTCGAGCGATTGCATCTGCTCCCAGTAAATTTATTCGCTTGCTTAGACGCTGCAAATTGGAAGAACAGCATGATTCATTGACTCCTCTCGCCGTTACTGGCTGCTCCACAAATGGCGGTCTACGGAGATCAACACAAAATGGAGGTCGACACGAAATAAGAAACAAAGAACTTCTTATAAACTTCTTTAAAAATGAAGATTCAATGGTTTTGTTACTTTAAAAAATTGTAAAACATTTGTTTTTTATTACTCCATCAATCTTTCTGACCATTTTGATGATGTAATTATTAAAAAGAAATTAAGAACACAGTCCGCCGTTTTAAATTAATGTGAATGCAAAGAATAAATTTATTACTGTATTCAACTATAATGATGCACCTGTTATTAAAGAACAAATAAATCTCGAATAGCCACGTGACTACATTCATAAATTATGATATTACGTATCGCTTAATCACCCGTAATAAATATCGATCCGAATGACGTAATCGATAATTGAGTAAGCAATTTGTGCGATTTCCGCAGACAGGCTCGACCATTCGATTCGATAGCCGATAAACAGAACAGCTAACCGTAACGATACACGCTCAAAGCAAACTCCTTCAATATTTTCCCCCCGCCATCTTCTCCTTCCTCCGCGATGCGCACCGCGGGTGTTCACGAAATGCTCCCCGACACCTAGCGCGCTCTCACTGATTGCTGAAAGAACGTTGCTAAATCGACGATTTATTATTGCTCGTGTAGCAATAACGTAGCTAATGCCGGCGTGCTATAGTTGCTAAGATGCGACGAGTATGACAACGTTGCTGTAATACGAGACGCTCTGGCCCAGTTTCGGATGCATTCATCATCGGAACAATAACTGTTCGATGCTAGAATATCAAATTTCATACCGTTTTATTTTAGGTTAGGTTTATGACATAACCACTGAAACCAAAGGCGAGTCTCTCCAAAACTGTCCCTTTAAATTGCTCCTACAAACGAGCGGGAAATTTAAATCGAGCAAATCTACTTTCATGTCGATCTCCAATAATTTGGAATATATTTGTAATAAATTTTCTGTATATTACTAATATTGTCTTTCGAGGTATTTTATCAATTTTACGGCGTTGAAAGTTGAAAGAAAAGAATATACCAAAATGATTGCTCTACAAAATATATTTGAAGAATATGTATTACGGAAATGATTATTACGAATAACTTGTAAGAAAATGAAAAACTATATATCACAAGAAATTACGGATGAATGTGTTACAGAGACGTGACAAAATATTTATTAGAAATAAATTACTGGTGAATATGCGGGTTTAAACTATTCTTCTCGACCGCCATACTTCTACACTGTGCGCATGCGCACCGATTCTTTTGATTCGGGTATTCAATGTCCTCTGTCTCTCCAGGTTTCCTTGTCTAGTATCTCTTATATCTACAAAACGAATTAACGTTAAATGAAATTGTACGGAACCCAGTTGAATTTCCGCTTTGACACGCGATATCGCGTTAGAGAATTAATAACCTCGATCGGTATCGAACAGTTCCCAGTAAAGTGGTAGCGATAGTGCAGCGATGAAGTGTGTCAGCTCTGAAGCGTCCTAATCTAACGGAATTATGGCTTTCACTCAAACATTGTTGGTTGCGCAAAAAATCTGCTGTAACTATCGGTCTGATCAGTCGCTAGGCAATCCATATTATATCTTCTTGGTTCTTGCTTAATAACGGTGGGAAGAGTTTTTATCTCCGCTCGATAACTCGTAAGCTGTTCACATAGTTTCAAATAATAGCTAATTTTAAACAGAACATGCAACAAAATTCAAATCTCTCTTATTCAATGTAATTACGGAGCAATTATAGGAAATTGAGGTACTTTTCTTGACTTTAGCTTGAGATCGTTGATTAGATAATTTTCTTTAATTTCAGGTTAAGAGGATCTGTATTTTACTAATATTTAATATTTAATATCGGAGTTTACAGTTTTGGTATTTGACATTTTTTAATATTATTAATATTTGGTCAATGACAGTTTTGAAAATTAGAAACGAACTCGGGAAAATTGGGACCTTGAGGTATTGGGACTTGCACCAAATTGCATAAGAATATCAAGCATCCTAAAATTGTTGGTATTCGACATTTTTTAATATTATTAATATTTGGTCAATGACAGTTTTGAAAATTAGAAACGAACTCGGGAAAATTGGGACCTTGAGGTATCGGGACTTGCACCAAATTGCATAAGAAATCCTAAAAACAATTAATCACAAGATGTAACAAAACACGTATTGTTTTTAAAGTTTCACCAGAAACCAATGTCTTCACGCGGCATTAAAAGATCCCGAAGGTCGATAAGTAGCTTCACGCTGTTTGTCCCGTAATTACAGAGAAATTGTAGCGAAGTAATTTACGTTCTAATGACACTGTCTGTTCCTTACTTTGCGGAGCAAAAGGTTAAGCAACATCACGGACACGAAAGTAAAAGGATCACCTTGGAAATTTTCATGGGTCGTTCCTAAAGATCTGTCATTACCAGATGTTTCTTTGGTTCTGCGAACTTGAGTATTGTAAAAAACAACGTGACGCGGCGTTTCT